TGCCTTTTGCAATTGACTGATGGTGATTTTGTCAATACCGATGATGTTCAAGTGGTGCTCCAGACATTTTGGGATTGCACCTAAGGCACCTATAACTATTGGTATGATCTTTGCTTTCTTTTGCCATATTTGTTCTACTACTATTTGTAGGTAGCTCACAACAACTAAAACAAGAAAAATACATTTTATGACAAATAATAAATAAAAGATGGCGAGAACAAGCCCAACAAGAAGGAAGCAAGGGTGCTTCACTCTCCCTTGCCAAAGGCCTGTGCAAAAAGGCAGGTCTTCAAGGCCATTCTAAACAATTGGGGGGGAGGCATGCAGATCTCGAGGGGGGAGGCATTCCAGAGGGTGGGTGCTGCTACAGAGAAGGCACATTTCTGGGGTCCTGATACATGACATTTTTTAAATGAAGGAAATAAATGAATGTTTTGAAGTAGCTTTTCTGCTGTATCAGCTGCTTCAAATATAAAAAATGACAGTAAGCATAATTTATGTACCTGTGTATATATAACATGAAACACATTTGACATTACTGTTTTTAATATTATACTTCCTTAGAAGAACTAATTATAAATGTGAACAGAAAAAAAATAGCATTTGCCACTGCATTTTTTACAGAGTCACTGATACACGTATCAGAGTTCTATTTTAGATGTACTGGGAAACAGACAATTTTAAATACCTAATTCCATCAACATCATGGTGTTACAAAAGTTCAAACCAAGATAAGAGTACTCTGTTAGAATTAAATATTTTAACAGAAACTTTAGCAAATGAGGAAGACATGGATGCATCCTACTTCAGTAAAATTTTACTCCAGAGAAGCACAGCATTAAAATGAAAATAAAAATATGGTTCATTGGCCAAGTTTTAATATAATTAAATATGATGGACAATAATATTTTATTCTTTTTTTAAAAGATACATTATGAATGGTATACTGTGTATAGCCAGATCAAGTCATGCATAAAAATATGTCCCTTTCTAACTATTAATTAGGTGGATATTTTAACTTTTTAAATTTATTTACAACTATAACTATGTATATTGCGGCTGCTTCCTCCAACTCCCCCATGCATACTAAACTATTTCCTAAGTTTAATAAAGCATTCATTTTTAGAAAAACGTTGTCTATGATAACAATTTGTTTGCTCTTACCGTCTTAGAGAATATGGAATTGAAATTGGATTTGGTCCTTTAGACCAACCGAAAAGAGTAAACCAGTTCTGAACTGCCGTTATAATTTTCTGGAAAAAGACATATTCTGCTGTGTCTTCTGCAGGAAAAACTAATCCATCAAATGTATTCTTCCTAGCCCATTCACTTTGGCTGACAGACTCCCTCTTCTTTATCTTTTCGTTTTCAAGGATTTTTTCCAGTTCTGCATAAAAATATAGTAACTTAGTTATCATTGCACAACCCTCTAGCAAACAATTAAACATATTTTTTTTAGTTACTCAACATTAATTTTTTGCTGAAAAAAAAATCAAACACTTCAGGTATGTCCAAACATTTGTGATTACTGATCCACTAATCAGTAATTTATCTAATTCTTACTATGAAAATATAATTAGTTATCCAATAAAACAAAATTCACAACTTTATATTGGATAAGTTAGACTGACTATGAATGTGTCATTATTTCTCAGTACAGTCGTGAAATTGATAGTGAACTGAATCATTTGTATAAATGGGTTCTATGAAATTGAATTATTATACAGGTATATATAAAAAAATCAAAATTGATAATGGTGCTGAATGTTTAAAAGTATACCTTTATTTTTAGTAAGTAATCTAAACATTACTCCAAAAGATTTTATTGAAGAAATGACAAATGTAGAACAAATTTTGTCTGACAAGATAGAGACGGTATTGAAAGTAGATTTACAATTAACAGGCCAAGAGAATGACTTGGAAAAGGATGTTTCATTGGATCTGCAAAAGAAATTGGCTGTTTTAAAATTCAAAAAGGAAATACAAATGATAAACCAAGAGAGTGACCTGGACAATTTTTTCTTATTGGATTTACAAAAGAGGCTTTTTAAAGCCTTAAAGAACTCTGTGTGATGGGACAAAGAAGAAATTAAGAGAAATAAAATCCTATGACAATATTTGAACGAGCTAAAGATTAAGACTGTTAGAAGTAAAAGGAAGGAATATAAAGTTGGTTTATTTGATCAAGGTTAAAGGAAGACAGATTACTTCTGGTAACCCTTTGTGGACTTTCTGCTGACACCAGGACTGAAGAGATGATGCTTTATGGATTTGTCTATAGATAAAGAATGGGATATGGGATGAAGATATAATTGTTTATAACCTTAGAGGATGTAATGGTATGTGGGAATGACCTTGAGGGACGAGGGGAAGAGATGCTGCCTAGGGAACAATTTGATAAAAAGGGGAAGAGCCCACAGCTGAATAACGGGCAAAGAAAGAAACTTAAAAAGGATCCACCCTAACGTATCAGGCTGTTAAAAGTGACGGCGAGAGATTTGTATTTTCAGGCTTGCAAGATTCTGTTAATGTAGCCTTACAATAAAATAAAATTAGCTCATCTGGTCGAGTTTCCTGTCTGGTTTACCTGGGAGGACTGACAGAGGGGATGGAGGGTCATTAAACTTGTTTACACTTGTTGTGATGAAGGTTCAAAGTACCTTCTTTATATTTTTTTCTTTATTATATTCTTACTTTTTTCTTTCTTCTCTCTCTCTTTCCTTTAACTTGCACCTTTTATTTTTTCTCTTCTCTTCTCTTTCTTTAAGTTTAGTTTGTATTAGATGTTACTGTTATATTCAATATTCTTAATAAAATTATATTTTTTAAAAAAAAAATAATTCCACTGTATCAGATTTAGGGTCTACTTAGCCTAGTATTCTATTCCCAATGACCAGCTAATTATGCTGAAAAATTTCATAAAGAGAAATGAAGGCTTGATGGCCTTTTCTCCTGTGACCTCTCAGAAATTAGTATTTATTGATGCAGTGTCTTTAAACCTGAAAATTTAGTCATTTATTTATGTACTGTGATTTATATCCCACTCTAATCCAGCACATACTGAGCAACCCCTATAAAAATGTCCAGCCAAGTGTACATGGGGTAGCATGATTTTTCATCTTATCCCCAAGAGCCTTGTTTTAATGTCTTATTTGGGGGCGGGGGGAGGTTGTGATATAATTACCTAGAAGTAGGCTGTTTCAGAGGCTAGGGCTAGTTATCATAGGCTATGCTTGTTGATAATCTTACCTGAAAAAAAGGTTTTGATTGAAAATATGTGTGGATTTTCTAGATTAGTGCTTGATATAGAAACCTGATGGATGAACATTACTATGTTGAAATGAAGTCTGGGTAATGTAGCAATATTTCAATCAGTTTGGATCTTCAGCTGGTATCAGGATTCCCACTGATCCTTCACTATGAAGTATTCTTAGATTAGTGAATGGCCTAGCAACTTGTTTGTTGCCAGAAGATCTTTTGCACAAAATTCCAACTTTGATATTTTATGAAATATTCTGATCTAGCTATGATGAACCATATCTTAATCGTCTTATTATAATTTTACACTGGTCTCCCTTTGAAACTATTACAAAAAGCAACTAAGCTTTTTAATGGATTCTTTTTTTTTAATTTGTATCAGTTCAACTGGCTGACTAATAATTCCCAAGCACAGTTCAGAGAACTGGTTTTGAATTAAACAAACCAGATGGCACCTGAAGAGTACTTTCCTCCATATAATTCTGATCAAGGGCAGAGATCTTCCACAGAAACCATTTTCATTGTTCTTCCAGATATTAATATTAATAAGACATAACATGACAACTGTTATTTTCAGTGTAATTTTTAACATCCATAGCATAGAATTAAATCATTTTATTTTTACCTTGCAATTGAAGGCCAACAACTTTTTAAAAAGAATAAAAGCATCATAAAGGAGAAGAAATTCAGATTGTTCTTTTATCTTTTTTATTGCTTGATATTTGTTATAAACTACACTGTGATATTTATACCACAAAAGCAAAATATATTAAATAAATACAAACTAATATTTATCTCACTGCCACTTCACACTGAATGACATCTTCACTGCTCTACCACCATGACCAAAATCTTTATTCTTGGGCAGTCACTGGCAATGAAGAGCATACTAGTACATATATGATTAAAACTGGTTGCTATTTAACAAATTGGCTCTCCATTCACTCTGCTTGGGGTTATCTTCAGCAACTATTTGCATCATGCAATATCACCAATTTATATACAGTAGACTCTTGCTTATCTGACATAAATGGGGTGGCAGAACGTTGGATAAGCGAAAATATCGGATAACACACAGTAACGATTGAGTACAGTAAAAAAAAAAAAAAAAAAACCGATCTACTGCGCCTGTTGCAATTGATTTTTGTGTTGCGGTGCCGCACTGTCAGGAGCAACAAGAAAGTGTACACTCATGCTCGCAAACAAGCGGCACACTTTTCTCATCGCCGATTTATGCATGTTGTGTTTTTTTTAGGGGCGTCGGATAAGACGGAATGTCGGATAAGCGAAGGTTGGTTAAACAAGATTCTACTGTACTTGGTAATCACGTACAAATTCAGAATCAGTGTGGTATTATGTGGGGGATGGGGTTGAGGGTCATACTACACTAAAATCTCCACACAGCTATGAAGTTTACTGGATGATCTTACTTCATTCACTATCAGTTAATCAAATCTATTCTGAAGAAGACAAAAGAATTATGCATGGTGCTTTGAGCTCCATGGAGATATAGAGGGATATAAATACAAAAACACATAAATACTACTAATTCACTATTTATTCTTCATTCTAGGTAATTTATGAATAAAGTAAATAATCATTCTCAATAGAGATCTTCCCAGTAGAAGGGAACTCCATTCCTGATTTCCACCTAGTGTGAGAATTCTCTTTTTATTTTTACTTTTCATTTCTGGATCTTAATTCAATTATCAGCCTCTAAGAAGACCTGTCCTTAAATCTACTTTTTTAAAAAAAAAATCAGATTTAGGCTCAATAAGCCAGGATATACATACACTCTATGTACCTATATTCAGTCCTTTTGCTGCAGTCCCTTTTTTATATAAGTAGTAAAACAAATCATAAAGTTAAGGTCAGTTTTATTGTTAATAGATTTAGATCATTTGAAATGCTAGCTTTTGATCATGCAGTTCAGAAATAATAGAAGACTGGTTAACTGTGGCATCCAGCTTTCTTCCTAATTTGTATGTCCAAAGTAACAGCAAACAAGTGATGCATGCTTAGAAATATAATATAAATACAATATAGTTTTTATTTAAGTCTTATAGAATTCCAGAAGGTTGGTTATACAGGATTTCTCTTAACCAATGCCATGCTAATTCTTCCTCAAATCCAGTTCTTTTATAAACTGAGTAATTCTTGTCTTCTTGTTTTCTACTAATTTATTCAGTATGTATTTTAGAATAACTACACTGTACAATCTCAAATGGACCAGCTGATTTATTAATTTTTATCAATTAGCCACAGAATTTCATCTCTTCTCACTTTTATTTTCCTTAATTGTATCATCTACTTATCAAACATTTTGTTTACTTTAAGCTACAGTGTATATGCAATATATAATAAGAAAATATTATAAATAGTTATGCATTTTGTGATTCAAGTCCAACTCTGCATAACTCAATAACAGAACATCAGTAAGGAGTATGTTTGTTTCTCATTCACTCTTTACGAGAAAAAAAGTTTCCATTATATCAAAAGATTATTTATTTACTTACTTACTCACTTACTTACTTACTTATTTATTTTGGCATATCCATTTTATTTTGGTGTAGCAGAATTCAAAGTACTCATTAAAAAGTTATATAGCATCTAGTTCCAAAGATGGAACTATTTGATATTGGTGCCTAAGTATGTATTTGAAACTTGATTCCAGGAACAAGCCTAAGCAAATTAAAATCTGATTAATTAACTTTTCTTTGCTGTATAAATGGGGCCTCCCAAATAGATATCCCACAACAAGCGTGCTAATTATAGCCAGCTGCAAGTCTCAGAAAGGAGCATAGAATTTAGTATCTCCAGATAACTCTTGAGAAGCTCAACCATATTTCTTAATCTCTTCATTATAGAGATCATTTGTAAATTATACCTGCAACAGAAGTTTCATAAGCAGAGTTGGTAACTGGATCGAAAGTACTGGAAGAAGATTGTGAACATGTTCCAGGAATGTAACACGGATGCTGCAAAGTATCTCCAGTGCTGTAAATTATTTTACTAGAATCTAAGTATGATGAAAACACACACAAAAGCCATCATGTAGGGTTCAGTTCACTATCCTAAATTATTACATTCTAAAATGTTTAGCTGTATATTATGTACAAATATATCATGAATTCAAACTAACATAAGCTAATGATAATCACATTCATGGCAAATTCTTAGCATCTAAGCATGTTTGGGAAGAAAAGAGTTTTACATGTTAAGGAAATTATTTGGAGATTGCTGTAAACCACTTTGAGGTTTTGAAAGTAAGAATATAAATGTTCTTAAATAAAAAATAAGAAAAAAGAACTATTTCAATTAGTGAAAATTCATTAAATACTACAATGCTAAAGCACTAGCCTGTAATTAGCAATGAAACACAATTATTAAGATACGTCAACATTCCTCTAATTTAATCAACAAACTATTAATCCTTATTTTATATTTCTGAATTACATTTTAGCATTTTAGAAAACTTAGATTAGGCAATTATTTTTAAAACTAGAAAGCTAATCTTAATATCCCTTCTAAACTTCATGTACATAATTTATTCCTCATTTCATCCCACTGTTTCATGTCTATCAACCTCTATTTTAGCATTCTCAATCATTTATTATTCTTCAAATGTACTTTTACAAATTTTAGTGTGTACAGTACTCTCTCACCAGTCCAAGCATCAGGGTGTACGTGTGTAAAATCTAAGGACTTTTGGTGATCCACAACAACAACAAAAACAGAATCGTGATACGGCATATTCAATCTGTCAAATATTTGAAGTAATACTAATCAGAATAATGTATAAACAGATCAGAATCTGCTCACCACTTTCCAAGACAATTTGTTGGTCAGTAAGGTGGCAGGCCAAGTAGGGATACACTGTAAGAAGACAATTCTCTGCTGTGGCAGCCACCTGAAGTGAGAATCTAAAAATAAAGTAACTTTCATTAAAAATATAGTTGAATATTTCCTAGCCATTAGCAGAATTATACAATTAAATTCTCAGTTTCTTCACTGCCCTAGCCTCCATGCAAAACTGCATACACTATATTATATATACCAAAATGCTTGCAAGTAAATAAAAAATGCTTGTCTCCAGTACTTTTACAACAGATTGTCATTCTGGAGGGAGGAGAACTGTTCACTGTGGAACATAAAGTTATTAGGGGATTGTAAATCAACCGAATAGCTGGAAGCTGGGAAACCAAAACTGCTTTTCACTGTATTTTTAAGTTAAATATTTTTTTAAAAAACTGGAATACTATGTAGCACTGCCTCTTTTGATCAAATCTCTTTCAAATATGTGTATCTCCCCCATGATACTGATTTCCTTGTAATAACAACTACAGCTACAGTTCAATTTCTGTATACCAATAACAGTGACAAATCTTGACAATCTTATATTTACTTTTTGATCCTGGATATCCTTAATGGTAAAGGTTTATTACAATAATCATTCAATTCAAAGCTCAAATGGAGTTTCTACATAGGCCACCATCGCCAGTTCATTTATAATTCAGGCCTGTTATATCATAGGAGAGAATGAATAATTCCCCTCGTGTATTATACGCTAATTTTTGAACACAGAATCCATGGCAGATGGTAAATGCTGACACTTTTCTAAAGAAAGTAATATTATACCATTTCTTTTGTACTAGCCAATAATTGTTAGTATTTTAGCAATAAAATATGGGTACATAAAACATTTCAAATTATGCATGTAATATCATATAGAGATAGGTAAAAGCATGTTGAGGCCTGTCAATGTCTTAAGTTACTTCAGTATTTAAAAAGCTATATTGTAGCTACCTGTTTCTTTCTCCATCAACAAAGAATAAATTCTTCAAAAAAGACAATGGCTTTGAAGAAATGAAATTGACACGGCAAGTGAATCCAATACTGTTTCCTTCTGGTGTTATTTCAATCCTATTGCCCTCCGGAAAGTCCACAGTCAAGGGATGAGTCTGCTGAGCACTGGTACCATCACTACCATCATAATTTCCAGAGTCAAGTTCTGGAATTTCAACTTGTAAAACTGATGGCCTATTAAAACCAAGGCAGTAAGACATGAAATTTCAAAATAACAAGACTTAAAAATAGTAGTTTTCAGAAGAAAAACATACAGTAAAATGTAAGTTATCAACTAAGGATGCTGTGTTAAAATAGCTAGATCTAAAGGAAAGTTACTGAAGGTTGTATTTAACTTGATGCATTTTTAATTATACGTTCATATTTCTAACTTCCTAAGCAGTAAAATATAAAGTGAAATAGCCTACATGGTACAATAAAATAATGTTAATTTTCTTTTGTTGGGTCCAAATGCCAATTATCTTAAATTAGTTTGGAATTCTATTCAATGTTTGGCCCAAAGAACAACTTTTGATGCGGTCAAGGTCTTGAATCATATTCAGTGGGTATGTTTTCCTCCTTTCTGAATGGTGCGATTCCATATGCTTTAAGAAACTTAGGTTCAAAGTCTGAAAAAGCATGCAAAATGAGCTGAATCGTTCTTTGAATCTGTGTTGCCAATATCTGAGGAATAAAGTAATTGACCTAAATATATAGAAACAGAAAAGAAATATATAGGGCCAGGTTATTGGAAGGATCACCTATCTCCCATGGTTTCTACCCTTCCGAGTAAGATCAGGCAGAATTGGATCACTTTGGGTCCCCTGAATCAAACAATGCCATCCATCAGGACCCAGGAAGTATGCCTTCTCTGACATGGTTCCTGCCCTTTGGAATATCCCCACCACAACTAGAGATCCATCTGGTTTCCACCATGATGATATTCTGGAAGCCTTTAAAAACTTGGCTGTTCTCCCTGATGGTTATGTTTTATGTTATAGGGAGTGCGTTTGTCCACACACAGAATTTCTTTTTTATTGTTTTCCATTTTTTAAGGTAAGCCACCTAGAGATGTTCTGGATTTGGGTGGCATCTAAATCTGATAAATAAATCAGTGTAATTTAGTGAATATACTGTAAGCAACCCAGGTCATTTTCCTTGCATTTCCACCAAGGCAAATTTAGATTCAGTACTGTGATTGAAATAGAAGATAAGAATGGCACTGACAGTCTGTCATAGATTTTAATATAGTTGTTTATTTGTCCTTAAGGAAAATACTAAGACACTAATAATATACGTACTGCTAAATCGAATGCTTTAAGCATTATGAAATGTCAAATGAAGACAACTGACAATGCTTAGTAGAAAATAATTAACGATGTGGCAAAGTGAAATAAGAAAAAATGGAGACAGTATTAAGAGAAGCCAAACCTCAACCATGTTTTATACTTGTTTCAGATTTCGCACTCCAGCTCCTTGGTCTCAGCCCCTGTACCCAGGCAGCAGACTCTCAGAGGCCATGGCTTCTGGCTGCAGCTCTTAAATGCCAGGTTAGTCTGTAATAAGGCCTCCCTCATCTGCAATTTGATTGTGGATGAGAGGGCCAACTTGGCATGTATTACCGAGACCTGGCTGGGCCAGTAAAGGGGAGTGGCCCTTTTGGAGATTTCCGCAGTCAGGTTTCAGGTGTGGCACCAGATGAAAACACAGGGCATGGATAGTGGTGTGGCGATTGTCATACAAAAATCGCTTACAGCTTTCAAGGGTGCTGCCCTGCAAGTCACTGGATATGAGGCCATGTTAAGTTGGCCTCTAGGGATCAGTTGGGATAGTTGCTGTTATACCAGCTTCACTGCTGTGTAGCAACTTCCCTGCCTCAGCTCCTGGACTCCAATTCTGGGTTGGCAATGGAGTTCCCCGGTCTTATGGTCTTGGGGGACTTCAATCTGCCCTCCCTGGGAGGTGGGTCTGAGGCAGCTCAGTTCATGGCCACCATGATGGCCATGGGCATCTATCCCAGTCATCTAGAGCCCAACACAGGACAATGGTCACACCGGATCTGGTGTTCTTGTTGGAGCAGTGGCTATGTCATCTGCAACTGGGGGAGCTTTTGGTGTCCCCCTTGTCATGGTCAGATCATGCCTTGATTCCATGGGATTCTCTGGCCCCACTATCCTCTGCAGGGAGGCTGGACCCATTAGATTGGTCCACCCCAAGTGACTGATGGACCCAGATGGGTTTCAGAGGGAGCTGGGGGCTGTTGCAGCTGATCTGCTGCATCGTCTATCCAAAGCCTTGGTTGCCATTTGGAATAAGGGGGCAGTTGAGGCATTGGATCAGATCTTGTCCATGCGACCTCTCCCCTCTCAGGGATGACATCACTTCTCATGATTTATGGAGGGGCTGAGGGAGATGAAGCAGGAAAAGAGACCTCTGGATCATCGCTGGTGCTCAACTAAGGACAAACTTGACCAAACACAGGATAAAGCTGCTATTAAGGCCTACCTTGTGGCTTTAAGGGTGGTGAAGTGGCAATACTCCACCCTTATTGTGTCCACAGATTGCTGCCCTCAGTCCTGTTTTGGGTGACACGAGCCCTCTTGGGTAAAGGGGGCCTGGGGAACTTTTTGCAGGGACCTGCAGAGGAATTTGTTCAGCATCTGTCCAATATTGCTTGGATTTGTTTGCAGTTGGATGCTAGCCTTGTTGCAGGTCCAGAGGAGGGGGCTAGGATGGAGTCTTGCCCAGTTATCAGGGAATGCTTTGAACCTGCTGGATTTGAGGAAGTGAGGTTCTAGGACTACGCCATATTTGGTACTGGATGGGGTTGCACTGCCACAAACAGATTCTGTGCGCAATTTGGGGGCCTCCTGGACTCATGACTCCTGCTCACTGTACAGGTGGCAGTAATGGCTAGGAGGGCCTTTATGGTCAACTTTGTATTGTATGCCAATTGCAGCCATTCCTAGATTGAGAGGCCCTACTCACGGTCACTCATGCCCTGGTCACCTCTCGGTTGGACTATTGTAATAAGCTCTACATAGGGCTGCCCTTGAAGCCTATCTGGAAACTTCAGCTGGTGCAAAATGCAACAGTGCAAGCAGTTATTTGTGCTTCTGGTAGAATGCACATGGCACCTCTGCTTCACAGGCTGCGTTGGTTACCAGTTTGTTTCCAGGTCCAATTCAAGGTGCTGCTGTTGACCTTTAAAGCCCTGCATGGCATGGGAACAGGTTACTTAAGGGACCGCCTCTTCCCGATTACATCTGCCCATCCCACCAGACCCAGCAGAAAGGGCATGTTACGGGTTCTGTCATCGAGGGAGCTACATTTAGCAGGCCCTAGAAGGCAGGTCTTTTCTGCTATGGTGCCCACATCATGGAATATTCTATCCCCTGAGATGAGATTGGCTCCATCACTTCTCATCTTCCGCAGGTCCCTCAAGATCTGCTTGTGCCATCAGGCCTGGGGACCCCAGGGGACTGGTGAATAGTGAGATGGCTCCATTATTATTAACTTCCCTTCACGTACTATTTCTTTGTCTTAGCTTTGTTTTTTATAGTTTTTAATGCTTTTAATAATAGTAATGATAACTGTTTTAGGTATTTATTAATTATTTTAGCTTTGTTGTATGCCACCCAGAGTCACTTGTGAGATGGGCAGCTATATAAATTGGACAAACAAACAAATGTATTTTATCACATCAATAATACTTCTTTACAAAGGAGTCAGAAAGGCAATAAGCTTAACAAAAAAATGTTGCATTGGACAGCCTAGAATTCCCTAAAAGATGTTTCTTTGCTTCATTGACCCAAGAAGGTAATTATGTTTCCAGAATGTCATCTGGGGACGCTATTATTCACTAAAGACCCAACAATTAATCACAAGTCTTGAAGATGCCATAGCGTTTGTAAGATGCCTACATAATCACATCCTTTATACCTTATGAAATAAGGTATATGGGTTTGGGGCTGCCTGTGCGTGCTGGTGGTAGAGTGGGAAGGGAATTTGTAGCAGCTGAGGATCCACTCTACTGTGCAGCTGATGAAACTTACACAACACAATAATAGACCTATGGATTCTTCAAAAAGAGTTTTAACACACCAAGTGTCCCTTCTGGGTATACCTAACTATTCTCTAAAAAAGCATTAACATGTCAATACTGTGCTGCAGTTTTGGTTATACCAAAGGTTACTGGCCACTATCGTTGGCAGTATACAAGCAGGAGACCTTAACTATTTAGTTGACATCACCTGCCCATCATACTGCAGAACTTTCTTTTTAGCCTGCCTTAATTTCTTGCTCTTTGCATTACTAGAAGAAAGATATAACAATATTCCTTTTGCAGATCAAAATTTCCCCTGTACTATGGAGGAACCTGAGACCTTAGCCCACATACTCGTTTGATGCCCTTTTTACAGTAACTTACACTCCACCCTTATACTTTCACTTGCAAACAAAATTCCTTTTTGCCTTGAGAACAATTTCATTTGTTCCTTGCTGTCATACCAGAACCCTAACACCACCAGGAGGTTTCTCCCAGCAGCCATGTACAATTTTATTTTGTTCTTCCGAGTTTCTTACATTGTGTCTAAGTTTCTTCTCCTGTCACAGATATCACTGATCAATATATGATTTTACTTATACACATTTACATACACACAAATTCACCCAATAGTCTAGTTTTCAGTAAGAATTTCAGTATTTTACTATTAAATGACTTTTATTAATTTAGTAATTTGTTTTTATCACTTTTAATATCCTATTATCTGTACTTACTGTGCTGTTTTTGTTTTTGCTTTTATTTTTTGGTGCCTTCAAGTCAATGTTGACTCCTGGTGACTACCTGGACTACAGTTTTCTTGGCAACACTTCAGAAATGGTTTGCCCTTGCCTCCTTCCTAGGGCTGAGAGAAGGGACTGGCCCAAAGTCACCCAGCTGGCTTTGTGCCTAAGGCAGGACTAGAACTCACGGTCTCCTGGTTTCTAGCCTGATTATTTAACCACTACACCAAACTGGCTCTCAATTGTACTGTACTAAAGGTCATATGCATTCCTGTTAATGTCTTAGAAACGTTTTAGACTTTAAGGCATTTTTATTGTCCTTTCCATTTATTTATTTATTTGATTTATTCATTTGATTTGGTGCCACCCAACTCCAGAACGACTTCAAGCAGCTCACAATTTAACAAACAAAATTAAAAAATGATAACAAACTAAAAAAGAAAAGAGCAAGATGGTGAATTTGACTGACAACACAAATAACATATACAACCAGGATAATGTTTATGCTTTCTTTCCTATGTCATGGCTTCCTGTACTTTATTCTTTTATTATTTTTATGAAGTCAGTTGTTTAATTTGCTCAACAGTGAAGATTATCTCTCAATGGTTAGTGCTATAAGTAACAAAGAGTACCTGACCCAACCATTAGTTTAAAAAATCACACTACCTAATCTGTGTGATGCAGTAACACAAAGGATAATTTCATTTGCAGACTAATATATAATAAATTCAAATAATCTAAGATTTCAAACAGGCTAATATCTATAATAGATATTTTTTGTAGGCTGATGAGAAAAGGTTTAAATTAGCTGAAATTCATTACTTGTTGCAATTATTGCTGTTGCTTCTATTATCAACTGCATAAATTCACCATTTGAAATCATACAGAGAAAATAATCAATCACACTTAATGAAGAAGCTAAAATTTGAATTGTAAATTACCTTAAATAATCCTGGGGAATTATACAGACATCTGCTCCTGTTTTAACATTGAGAGGAACAGGAGTCAGTATCAAAAGCTGGGGTTCAAAGGTGATTTTATGTGATTTCACAATTCCAGATAAAGTGATTGTTCTGTAAACAGGCATCTCATCATTCAAAAATACAGGTATCTGAGCTGCATATATTCCAGGCCAACCTGAAGAAAACAATGAAATTGCCAATGTATACATTTCTTTATAGAACAGACCAAACTGGTGTTATAAAAGGGAACACATTACCAAACCAAAGCATGAAGACATAATATAGGACTGGCATTTCTGATCCGTTTTAATCATTTTCTTTTACAAAAAAATATTTTAAAAGGTAATGTATGAATTGCTATGAATGTAATGATAAAATCCAGAGATATATGAAATCCAATAGCCAGGTTGGGTTTTGGTCTTCCAAGTTACCTCCCATCTTCCACAACAAACATAGTAACCTTTGTAATAGCAACAATACTTTTGTACACATTACAAAGAACAGCTCCTCTGTTTATGGGATTGATTGAGATGCAACGATTCTCAGAAGAAAACCTAAGTCAGAAGCAACTACGTCCTATTTGGTCAGTAGCACCTAAGCAGTATTTCGGCTATTCTTTAAAATTCCTTTGCCTTTCATCTCTTCACTAGGTCAGATTATTAAACCAGCTATATAGTTGAAGCATTTATATAGCTAATTTTAGAATGTAAACCCATCTAATGTTGCTGAAATTGTACATATCTGATAATGCAATGACATTTTGCCAGGAATGTTCCCTTAATATATCCTAAATGCTTTTCCATGGTGTTGCTCTCTATGTAACAGAATGAAAAATGATACTGTTTTAACTAAAAAGGGCACTGACAGTATAGAACCTGTTATCCTAAATAGATTAACTGTAGACAGAAAACAGAAATTGAAACTCCACTCCCAGATCAATATTTATACTTTTTAAAAAATTACATTATCACTCATTTTTATGAAAACGCCAAAGGGTACCATTATTAAATTGATTTTTATAATTTACATAATACTTTTTTTTTTGTGCAGCCAATGCAGATTTGGCCAATTTAAAATGTGATACATGCTAACATATACCTTATTTTCTTGTAAGACATTTATTTATTTATTTATTTAATTAATTAATTAATTAATTGATTGATTTTTTTATTTA